GCCATATTTATCTTTATTCGGCGCATTCCGAATGTGTTCGATTTTTAAACGAACGCTTTTCGCGAAGAACATAATAAGGTTAGCCAAATCGAAAAATGTTTTTAGGAATAGACGCCAGTTTTTGTTCATCTATAATTCTATTAACATAAAGGAACTAATTAGTGTAAATAGTAGTACACGCAGAGTTATTTATGGCAGCGTAACGTGTTTTACGTCATGTTATTAAGTAAAATAGTCATCAATAAATCTTTATGACTCCGATGCATAGGTTGGGCCGTGTTTCACACCGATAAGAAGAGGTCGTGGAGTAGCGTTGACAAAAAATAAATAAATATGTTAATGCCTTCGTAACACACGCATTATGCATGTTGATTGAGAAAACTGGGAGATGAATCGATATTTTCCTATTCAACAAATTTATTTTCTGCATGTAACATTCGAGGTTAAATGGAATGATGTAATTCTACTTTTGTTGGGCGTCAAATATCCGTCTGACCGTACTAGCGGAGGGTCGATATCGTGCTTCGATCGCCCTTTCGAGATGTGATCGTCCACATTCCAGCCTCCCTTACATTGAAGATAACTAAAACATTACGGTGAGTAATTTATGAACGGCAATACGTCTAAATCGTACGTATGCTTTAAATATGCATCTTTTCTGTTCAGCATTTATGCTTTGTGTTTTAAGTTATATAATTTTATTTTTAATTTAAAAACCTTAAAAAAGAATTCCTGTTTATTTAATGAAATTCTGTTCATCCGTTTGAGCCTACTTTCATCTTTTCCATTGAAAACATGCTCAGGTCTAGGTCTATTTTTTTAGAGAAAAATCAATGGGACAGAATGAAAAAAATAACGTTGATTATTAACCCAACTTTTATGGTGAATGTTATATAGTCCCATAATGAAGTGCAGACGGTCAATAAATCGACCGGCAAACGTTACAAGTTCTTTATTATTCAACCTTATTGTAGTCACTAAAACAATATCGATATCTATATTAGCCATTCATTCTATTATGTCAAATGTAAAGTAAAACACACAAACGGAGCGAGCGAATAATAAATATCTCGACGAAACAAATCCCGGAATGCGGATGCAAAACGATTTGGCAAATCGATGGCGACCCACAATTAATATCGTCTAACCCGAACTTAACGTCGAAACCGGGGAATAGCTCCACGGGGCGGACCCAGTGAAGAAATCAATGAGCGAAATTCCAACATGGTTCCATAGTTCCACGATCGCGGAGTTTGAGCGTCGCCGGATGAATTCCTGATTCGACGCCGTGATTGCTCCGCGATATCGGAGTTTGCAAGTCGCCGGGCGTTTTGCGCGCCGATCCGCTCGCGGAATTAATTAATTTGGGAAACTCCACGTACGGTGTGGAGGGCGCGGAATGAACAAGCACTACACTCGAACATCAACCTTTTCATTACCGATTGAGAACTGCGAATTGCTAAAAGCAGTCTTAGTGACGGAGAGCCAACGTACCCAACGCCACCTGCATAGGCAAACGGTGATTCGATTGACTGATTCCCAAAACAGATTCCAACAACATTCTGTTGCATTGTTCAAATTCAGAATCTCAATTCAGCCAAACTGGTAACTCGTTCTTCGGCCCCAAACGAAAGGGCCAAAGTCAATGAAGAATAATAATTTTTAAAGCATATTAACCTGATCTCTGATTGGGTGCCTAACTCCTACTGAATAGAGTTAAATAGAATACTTGACGCCCCGAAACTTGAACTCAGTTCCCTTCCAATTTAAATCACAATAATACTAATGATAAAGTAATTGTAAATCACAAACATCAGGACTACCTAGAAACGTACGCGTTTGTGTGTGAAGTAGTAAAAATCATTGTACCTAAATCAAGTCATGACGTAATTATAACTCCACAAGAAGTACTAACCGGGAAAAATACCTCCTTTACAAATGCAACGCCTTTACTAAGCCACTTTCAACAGCGCAAACAATAGACGAGTTCTGCTTAAAAAAGGCTTTCCGTCGAGTAAAATTAACACTCCCATGGCTTACCATATACGAATAGGCATGGATTCGTTCACTTTAAATAATTATTTCAAAGGTCGTTTAAGGAATATGAAAGTATAGACGATTGGATATTTTGTCATATTAATGAAAACGCTGTATTTGTTACTAACAAGTGTTGACCCGGCAAGTTGCTCTAATAAGATTTCTGGATCTCTAGAGATTCTAAAAACGAGTATTTTAAGAGCTTTTCTGAGTTACGAAAGATCTACGCAAATATTAACTAGCAATTCCATATTGTAACAAACACGAGGAATGATATAATTTTATAAAATGAAAACCATTGAAAGTTTATTATAGTATACATATATGAATACCAACGATATGTTCTATATGAATAAAATGATAGAGAGAAATACCGAATAGATTCCAATTAATCCTTAGATTCATTTCTTAGACACTTGAACCTTAACTAAAAAATTATTTCTATAAAGTCGATATAATAGTGTTTAATGATTGACTGATGACGACTCTAAGGTTTTGGCTTCGGTGTCGGGGGTTATGGGTTCGATTCCAACACGGGACAACTATTTGTGTGACCCACAGATAGTTTTTTCGCATCTGAGTGTTTGTCCGTGTGGAATTTGTTTGTAAAAGAAAGGGCAATGTTTAAGAAAAAATCTTATTTACCCGAGTATTATACATATTAAATGGAGCTGAAGTGACGATGGGCCGGCCATATAGCTTGTAGAACCGATAACCGATGGGTAAGAAGGATTCATGAGTGGTAGCCACGTACTGGCCATCCCAGTGTAGGGCGACACCCCCTACTAGATGGTGTGACGACGTGTGCAAATGTGCTGGAATTCGATGGACTCAGTTGCTTCGGGATCGTGCGACGTGTCAGTCTGTGGCAGAGGCCTAATAAGATCTGCAGTGGACTCAAACTGGCTGAAATGATGATCATCAAATGAAACTAGTTTACGGATTGTATCGCGTTTTAATTTAGATTTCTATTCTCCTGAATTAAAATCTGAACTGACTGTCCTCGGTCTCTCCCGTAACCATGAACGACTGGAAAGGGTTAACGTCGGGAATGTCCATAATGCGCACGTTTAACAATTGTTACGCTATACATTATCTTTATTTTTAAAATGAATCGTTTTATGTGTTGCCAAGCGCAAATCTCAAGAACAGCTAAACCGATTTCGTTAATTATTTTTTTATAATATTTCTTGAAGTACGAGGATGGTTCTTACGGAGAGGAAAAATTAAAAATTGCCTTAAAATATGCCTTTCTATATTCCCATACGAAGATTCAAATATGATACAAAAAGATTAAACGATTCAAATAAAATACAAAAGATTCGTAATAATACTTCAAGTCAATTTGAACTTTAATAACATACTATAAAATTTAAGTGTTAGTGGAGGGGTCCTGGGAAGGCAAATAATTGAGTGACGTTAGTATCGTATAAATATTAATGTCAATATTTGTCAATATTTATACGATGATAACGTTACTCAAAAACAAATTGTCCATGGTAAAATGTAAATTCTCTGTTGTAAAAGTCACTTGAAATGTAAACGTCTCCTACATACTAGCATATATATGCTTAGATTCTTTCTCTATATATGCTTAGATCGTTAAAACTACGCAACGGATCTTGATGCGGTTTTTTTACTAGATAGACTGATTCAAGAGCAAGGCTTATATGTATAATACATTGCACCCGCGCGAAGCCGGGGCGGATCGCTAGTGACATATACAAGAAAATGTGTCTGATGACATAGAACGTATGATACAAGGGTAATAGCAATCTATAGAATTGCATCATTGGTGTAATTTGAGTGCCTCAGTTTCGGTGCGCTAGTGTCATATCTAATAATAACAATAATAATAAATATTTAGGACACATTTGTACACAACATTTTCTAGTCCCAAACTAAGCAAAGCTTGTACTATGGGTACTAGAAAACTGATAAACATACTTAAACATACTTTTATTTTGTAAATAAATACATATTATACATATAGAAACACCCAAACACTATAAAAACACCATGTTCATCACATAATATTTTTCCAGTAGTGGGGATCGAACCCACACCCTCCGGCGCAGGAGGCAGGTACACTACCCACTACGCCATTTGGGTCGTCGATCTACCTCGTATTTGTATGTAATATCATTGATTGTTAACATAATACGCAACGCAGATCAACTCACTAGTGGTCAGTCAGTCTACATTAAAATTGTAACAATACCTCAGAACCTGACTTTGTTTTGGTCCATATCACGTTCGGTACACTGTTTTTATTAATCTATTTGCAGCTGAAAAACTGAACGGACAAAGCCGTTAACATAACGACTTACATGAAACGCCATCTTATCTATTATTGTAATATTTCATTGCGAACTTGTCAGGAAAAGTCCTTAATTATGCTTATAGTAAAGGAATGCAAAAGTCAGCCGGTGGTTTTTGCCAATCCTAGATTTACAAATTTGACTTAAATATAAGAGCTAGTAGATTTGCCGTTTTATTTCCACTCTACCAACGAAGATAGCGGTAAAGGCTGCAGATATAACATTAAACAACCTTTAAGAAAGTGGACCCTGGATGTCTCACTTACCACACGAAACGCGAAAGTTTAATACTTACTTCCACTTCTGTGAGGCCATGACACTTCCCCGGACGCGCCTGCCCTTTCTTGCAAACAGCCGAAGCTGATGCGGGGCCCACGGTAGACATAAAAGTTAGTACACTAAATACAAAAGTAAGTATAATAAGTTTATATACTCGTTGACTTGTCGTATAACGATGAATTCAAAATTTAACAATATAAATTTATTAATACCTTCGCATTTCCGAGCGTAACAAGCTACCGTTAGCGGAGGATATTTTTGAAGTTTTCACCAAAATCCGTTTCGTTAAATGAGCACGTGATAAGAAATTACGAGTGAAACCGTTCCGTTTAATAATTAAGTTGTATGAATAACTGTTGTCCAATGCGCTTTCGTATCGCGCTCATTAAAAACGGCAACACATTGGAGCGGTATGTCGGTTGGTCGCCACTTGATGGAAGGATCGTTAAGGCAGGATATGCTGATATGAGTGGCAACGAGTACCGCGCAAACGAACACAGTTGTCCGATGCTATCTCGGAATATACGAGCCGCCGAAACGGCGCATCTCGCCCGGGAGCGCGGGGGCGCGGGGCGCGGTGCGTACATTAAAATCGCGCCGTACGGCGGCCGAGTTTTAATTTACACATTAACAAAAACGGACAAGCCCATATAAAACAACATAAATCGGCGCCCGCCGCGCGCGGGGCGAACACGGCCGCGCGGCCGTATTTATCGCAACGCGCCCGATGAGGCATGGCGTTGCGCCGTCGTCGATACCGCGGCGCCGCGCGGATTCGGGCCCGGCGTTTGAGGGCGCTCAGGCCTCAGCTGCCGTGGCCCAGGGGGCGTCCCGGCTAAGCCGCCGCCGCACCTCGCAGACACGCGCGCACTCCCGCGCCATCTAATCCGCGCCCACTCCACACGTAAACCTATCTAATTGACAATAAAAGGATACGCAGGCGTGCGGTCACATAACACGAGGCCGGCTAATTGATTTTTACGGCCCACGGACGGACCTCGCAGCGACTTTATTGGCAGCGGCCGGTCAAAGTCACTTGCAATTATTAGCAACGAACGCAACGCTAGGAGAGTGTCGTGCGCCATAACGACGCTAAAGCTAAATGAAAGAGATGTTTCCGTGATGAGATATTGCATAAAGCGACGTCTTGATTTACGACCACTTCCCAACGCGACTGTGGCGACTTTCTAAATAAAGGAAGACATTCAGATTATGCAATAAATTCGAGAGAGAACGACAGACATCAACTTTGTTCCTCTGATTCCGTTATGGATTTTAAAGTGAAATTGGGTTGGATCTACAGATGTCACCCAAAAAGTACAGTTGTGAACCAAGCGGTTCGGGTACGAAATATTAATGTCTTACTTATTCCCTAATCCAAATTCATGTGACATTAGTCATGTGAGGAAACACAAAAGGCATCCATACTGCGGGCAACAGCGGGGCGACATTAGAATTCCAACTTTTATTCTTCTATTTTCGACTCATCTTAATAACTCGGACGGTATATTTTTTTGTGAAACGTCTTATTTTCTAGTGAATGAGAATTTGTTGGGACTCCTTGAACGTGTACAACATAATGTTATTATAATTTATGTCATACTAAGCAGGTGAAGATATACGAGCGAGTCATTCGTTTTATTAAACATGTTCGCTAAGTCGATTTTGTTATTTTTTTGTCGCTCGGCCGTGGGGCATCTATCACGCAGCGTGCGGGCCCTTTCCACCTCAGCTCTTTATTGCCCCGAAGATTTCCGGACGGCGTTGTGCGTCTCACGCTTGTCCATACATACAATAATCCACTAACGTCTCACTTAGTGCTTACACACCGATATATTTTCAATGCCGTCGATAACGCCCGGTACGCGAATATTTTGAACGAACCAAAGCAATAAATGATATAATTTTTTTTCGCGCTTTCCGTATCTCGTTTGTGAACGAAATTTAAGTTATTAAATGGAATGGTTTCCTATTGTTTTCAACTTTTGGCTAGAATGGCGTTGATTTTTACAATTTTCACCTTCGTAATCGGGTTCATTACAGGTCATTCTTTACTCATGCGTTTAGCATCGATATCGTTAAAAACTACGTAAATGGGGATGTGAGGTGAGCATGGCGGATATTTGACGATGCCCAATTTGAGTAAAGAACAAAACGGAATCTACTTGACGTGCGAAATAGCGTGCGCGAAATACAAGCAGCAACGCTTGGTGTACATAGTATTTCTATTGTTTTGCGGATTGAGAGCTCTGTGCACGCTGCGTAGTGCAAGTCGCCGTGGCGGACCGGCCTCTGGCACCCACGAGGTGTCGATGCGCCTTATTGTATTGTTTTTGTTCGAATACCACCCGTCCATAAATACTTGGCTGCGCGAACTAGTTGCCTCCAACACCCCACGGTACTCGATATTGATTATATCATATTTGCGTTAAAATACTGCTCAGCTTACCGATTTACTTCGGATCAGAACATTCAATGGACTCCTTCGTAAATTTTTAAACATTGTGACCTGTCTATATTAATTTTTATTCAGGATCAAAACCGAAATCACTGGACTATTTTGTTTAACAACAGCTGAGTTGAACCGTTGACCACCCTAATTAACTATGATTAACCTGTCTGAACGTGTTTATGAGAAACGAAGCCTTTCAACACGGCAGGCTGAGAAAAATAGAGGACAAGTAAGAAGGAGGTTTTTAGGTTTTTGGCATGATTTGTTTTGCTATTATCCTTACAATTACAATCAATGGATTCTTAGTACGTTTATGGAGCCGTTCATACTCACTTAAAAGACTTCTGCTACGTTTGTGTTTACTGTTGTCTTGGTAAACCTTAAGTTAAGTTGTTGGTTTCTTTATTGTAATTGCCGCTCCTCGGCTGGATTCGGTCAAATATTAAAACAGTTGGTTTTTTTATTTATATTTTTAAATCCACTGTTGTTAGCATTGCCGCTAGTCTTTTTTGTTGGGTGAATGAACGGCTGCCAAACCTTGTAATTTTACGGCTGTTAAGCCATTGAAAATTTATATTCACAGCACACTCAGTGTTTTTTCAACATCTTTCCAACTTTCAAGGTGTATAACAATTCTTAAATAGGTACTTTTACTTAGTGTATAACAATTCTTAAATAGGTAATTTCTACTTTGTATATTAAGAATTACATAGCGATAATATGGTCCATTATTTTTGTTTCCTAATTTCTCATTAAAGTGAAAAGATTCAACGTAATTATTAAATTAAGCATATCCGTGAAATCCCAATTTATTTATTTATTTAATTTTTTTTGATAAAATTTTTATATTATTAGACATTAGAATAATTTTGTGGTCATGAATCACCGTCAAGGTCCAAAACAGTCCAGTATTGACTTCTAGACATGATATCTGTTGAAATAATTTATTTGTACTAAGAGTAATTGTTATCAATCTTAATGACTTTTTATGACTTTTCTTATTCGCAAAGGATAAGATAAACCACTTGCTGTAAATGTTTTATTCAAAATATTTAACATTAACATTTCAAGTTTATACATTGTCACTGGCCAATTTATTATGGTTAGAGTTGTAGTTGTTGTGATGAGTTGCAGTAAGCGTCGACAATGTAGTATTTAAGAGTTTAGTATTAAAAACAGCCGAGTGGAGCAATTCATAATCGCTTAAGCTCCCTAGAGACATGTTCAAACGCGTGAAAAACATAGGTACTTAAACGGAGAAAAATTCACACAGACGACAATCCTTGTGAAATTTTATTCACGAGTGTCTCCTAGCCCTGAGTCCGGCAGCCACAAGGGCTTATGGTGCGCCAGGTTAATTCTGACCCCTATTATGTCCCAATAAAGACGACCCGGGCGCGTCTCTCGTGGACGATAAATTACGCGTTGTCTAAATAAGAGGAGCATTTGTGCACGGCGCGATCGTCCGGCCATTCTTAACGCAACGCCGAAAGGCCACCTCATCTAAAGCACCTTGTTTTAAGTCAACAAATGTAAAACCATTCTGGGAGGAGGGTTAGAGGCACTTGTTTCCATGAATAATAATATGTAAATACTCATCTTCGGAACGGGTTCATAAAATTTTTGCGCTCTCCGATGTATAATAGAAGCGCACACAACGCGGCGTTTTCTAAAGACGTGTTTGGCTTTAGACGACTGCGCTTTTCAATGACGGTCTGTACACTCGGCAATTAGCGGTCTAGTTGACTAAGGGCTCTGGCCGCGCAGCCTGTCAGAATACAATACAACCTGTAGAAAATGTTTATGGCGAAACATTGTGTAGGCGAAAGAGATATCGCTCTAAAGTTTTGAGAGGCCACATTAGGGAACAACCTGTCAGTGCAGTATACATATTTGAACAATCTGATACGTAATTCTCAAACGACCGACGGAGTGTTACCAACTTGGCAACATTAAACGGCACTCCAATTTGGCGGCAAACGGCATCGCGCCCCCGCCTCGTGCGGGCAACTCGGCCGCGCAGGAGAGCTCGGCCCGTCCCAAGAGCTTTACAGATTTTAATTTTCCTTTTGTCTTTATGGATCACGAAATGTTTTGTGTACGCGTGCCCCATGGGGCTAGGACCGCCCGCGGCGGCTTCCTTCCTACATGGGCTCTCCACAAAAACTCTTGTTATAAAAATGCACGACAAACGAAAGGCCTTACGTCGGGTGACAAGTGGCTTTTGTTTATAGTATTTGTTGATTTGTTTAAACGCCTGTGACACCTGATGACGGTGCGATTTTGTGGATTAGGACGGTCGCGTGTTGGGACGAGACGCGCGCTCTTCGATGATGTTAACAACGCGCTAACACGAAACCGATACTTACGGTGTCGAGTAACCTATCTGTTAGTTAAGGGCAAGTAGCGATTCAATTAGCTAAGGTACACGTATTAAAATTGAGTGCGACAGTTTTAACGCGTGTGGTGAGTTGTGTGTTGATAAACTATACAGACTTTAAATTAAGACAATCGCCCAAGTAGTAATACTTGTCTATTGACAAAGAGCAATGCCATGCCACAGCTAAAACTTTTTAAAGGCGTTAACAACGTAAATTTACTGTTTATTTAGTGGTTTATATTAATCAAATTGTAAACTGTTTCTTCGGTTCTCTCCTTTTCGTCACTCACTCATGCAACAGATAAACGGTCAAAGAGGGAAAAGTAAAAATACAAGCAACTTAATTATGAGTACCGGTGCCACACTTCCTATCTAATTGGCATAAGTTGGAAATATCCGAAGGCTCGATCGCAGCCGCCGGCACCCGCGAACTGTCGCGAGTGCATCGCGATACCGTACTAATGTTGTACCGTTGAATTTATCAAACGGCCGTATTCGGGATGAAAATGTACAAGTTGACAACACGTGTTGCCGCTATCTGCGCGAATGCATCGGGCGCCCCGCGGCGCGGGTCCGGCGCGGCCGCATTACTCACCGTGACCTAATGGGCACGGATAAATCAAGTGCATTCGTACGGACCAAAATAATACAGGGAAAAAAGGATCGAAACAAACGGACCAACGGAAAAAAGGCACGCACACTCGCGCACCGACTGGCCGTAGTGAGTGAACGCAATTCATGGAAATCGGAACAGATGTGACGACGCGCCGCCGGATGCCCGGTGGTCCGCGGCGAACGCGCCTGCGAACGAACGCGCGCTCGGACCTGTTCGGTCGAGCGTTCGCCGAACCGCCATCGCGCTCGGTGTCGTGCCAGTTTCGGGGCTCCCCCTCTCTCTATCTCTCTCTCTTTTCTTTTTTTTCAACATAATCCTATTCCGTCCGACGGATTAACGCAAGGCCTGAGATGCGACTTTGTGATTTGATAGCATTTAGATTAAGGTTTGTTGCGGAAAAGCGAGTAATCAACTTGAAGAGCTATGATATTATCCGTTCTCAAACCTAAGGACTGAGAATAATAATACCTTTTTGTGAACTGTCAGAATATATACTTACCTTAGTAATCATACCATGTACGCATACCAATTATAAATGTTCATTGTCATTCTTAAGGATTATAAATAAGCGGTTACTTGACAATATTTTTTAACTTATTTTTTTCTAAAAGCTGAGCATCTAGTCAGGGATGAATTTTTATAATCCCACTAAATAGTATAAGTGAAATGATCTTACCCTAACATTACAACATTTAACATGTTTTCAAATTTGTGCGACTATGGAATTAAAAAGGCACATCGCAAACCATTGATAACAAACAAAACAGTCGCAACAAACCGGGTACAATCAATTCATGAATGGGGGATCAAACCAAACAAACGGCCACGGAAGGCGGCGATAAGAGGGGTGGGGCGACGTTTGGAAAAAAAAAACAATAATAACCTCGTCTACATAATGCGATCTAGCGAAAAGTGCAACAAATTAAACTCTCCCACGCAGCACGTCAAATAAAGGAAGACATTACGCCGCTCCCCGAAAGCAACTAATTCATAAAGCTAAGCATTCCCTTTGATATGAAAATGTGTTTAATCCGCGGCACGCGCCTCTTTCGCCGGGAGGCGATCAGTGTCCGTTTGTTTGCTTTGCCCCGTGTCATGTTGTATTCATTTCAACTTAGAAACAATCCGCCGCCGAAAGTTATTAATGTCGCCCGCGTACGCACTAAATAAATTATAAAACGCCCAACGATTAATGGATGTAAGTATGATATAATTAACGTGGAATATTTACGTGGCATTCGTGGAATGCTTGTAAGTATTACGCTATATTGGTTGTCGTTTATTGATTTATGGAGGCGTCGACCGCACGGGGCGTACCGTCCAGCTGAGCGAGACCCCGGACGATTAGTCCTCATATCAATTTTATTGTCTCCTCCAGAGTTTTATGTAAATTGAATACATTCTTTAATATTAAATTATCGATGATTAACGGTTATCTATTAAATCTCTTAGTAATAATGATTTACTAGTAACGCGACGCAATTAACGTTAATGCTAACAGTAAATTTGACTTTATTGACTCTCTTTTTATTAATATGTTTTCTAAGATGTACAGTAGGGTGTTAAGCAAATTGTTTAAAGTTGTTCATTTTATATCAATGTTATGGGATGTCCACATATTAACACATTGTTATTACATTCGCCCTGCATGTATATTAATACTATAGCTATTATGTTAGCGACCCCAAAGATGGATGATGTTCAATTGAATGAACTATTACGAGGTAAAATCATGCACCCAATTCAACATAGTTCAATCTCGCCGTTACTTCGCACAAAATGTAAGAACTTAAAAGAATGTTGTTCTCCGAAAAAACTATTATATTAAATAAATAAAAAAACCATAATACTTTTAACATTCGATTCAATAAAAACAACAACCGTAATCGAATGAACGAGACATTCTTAATAGCTTCATCCAAATATTCATTACATCACTGTATTTACACATTTTTATGGGTTAACTGTTAGGATATTTCGGGCTTTACTACCTTCGCAATACGGGTGACAATCGCGGATGGTCGCGAATAATCGCCAAACCGAGTTTATTCCCTTCGTTAGACACATCGTTATGGACGTTATGATAACAGAGAATGGGCCGGGATGTTCTTTAAAAGGGGGGTTATTAAAACCCATTTAAAAGAGCAGCTGTAATAAACGTTGAAATGGCTGTATCTTCTTGGTCGTGGACGCGAAACGTTTGCCGACTAAGCGACATACATAGAGTCGTTTTATATCATTTTGTGTAGATCTAAATTGCTTTTGTTTATACAATCGCCGTCAGCGCTGTGGTATACTTATTTGTGATAATTTTTACTATCTATCAAACGTTTCAAATATATATAAAAAAATAAGAAAACCGGTACCGCTGAATAAAGAACCCTGAAAGGATAGCGTTTACTTAAACCTTATTAAATAAACCGCGCGAAGTTAAGGTAACACTTTTTAAAAGTTATTGCCAAACATTGTACACGTGCAACCTGTGGAGCAATTACACCAAAAAAGCATACAATGCTCTGCGTGTCCAGTACAACAACAGCTTCAGGAGTTTGTTGGGGCTGCATTGGCGTTGTAGTGCTTCAGGCATGTTTACCGATTACAGCACTGATAGCTTTGAGGCAGTGCTTCGAAAAAGAGCTGCCTCCTTATGGACGCGGGTGAGGAGCAGTTCCAACACACTCCTGAAGGTTGTGTCTGATCGAGTGGACAGCCCAATAATAAAACATTGGGCTTTCATACATGTCCAACATAATAATAAATATTTTAAATTTTACTAACATAGTTTTTAAGTTTCTAACTAACACTATGGACTTGTATTATGATTTATTATGTGCAGTCTGAAATAAATAATTTCATTTCATTTCATTTCATTTCATTAAATAAACAAATTTTATTTGAGCAAGTAAATTTTATTGTTGTTTATTTTTAAGCTGAGTTTTTTTATGTGAAGTTTTGTCTTGTGAGGCATGTTCAGCGGATGTTAAATGATTACTGCCTCTCATGGAAATCTGCAAAACCCATGGGATTGCAGATGCGTTGCCACCTTATAAAAAAGTGGGCTCCGGCTCCTTCAGTCACAAGCTAGGCGAAACGTCAAAGTATAATACTTACATTTTACGGGGGTCTGTGAACCCATAGTAACATGAACATAATGAAAACCAGAGAGTTGATTCGTTCTATATGAAGCTTTACATATAGACACATTAAAGTACAGGTTAAATTGTTTGTACGGGACACGTGTGCCCGATGCAGAATGATAGTCACCAAGGATACAGCTGAATATAAAACGTGCCCAGGTCACCGCAGATAAAGAGGGGTGTTGCGATCTAGACTGGTACTCCAAAAACAGGGTCAACATAGCCGAAGATCGTGATGTTTGGAAGAAGGAAAAGGAGGTCTTTTGCTGGTTTAATCTTATTCTATATATTTATAGTGAAATGTTTGTATGTATACCTTTTTGTGAGTGTTGAGCGCATGAAGAAGTGTGAGATTGGGTATAATATTAATGTTTAAAAGGAAAAGAAATGCAGAACGTTACACTTATATCCAATACTAGTGGACCCAACAGACGTCCTGTACACACGTCTCCAATTAAATAACACCTCATAAATTAAAAATTAATACGTACAAAAAACACATTTTGTATTGGACCAAATTGTGCATCTAAAGCATTCTCGAGTCCACCTGTAGGCACACAAAAAATTTCATATCAATCGGTCCAGCAGTTTAGGAGGAGTTCAGTGACGTACACACACTCAGAAGAATTATGTATATACAGATACAGATATTTTGCAAATGCATTAAAATGTCGTTTATTCGTGGTATCAATTCAAGCAGAGAAAAATAATAGTTCAAATAATAATAGTGTAGGATCAATAAATTAGATTAATAAAGATCAATTTCGATCAAAAGGTGACTAGTAATCATACAAGTACATGCATAAACGTTGACATTGATTTTGGCACACATCACAGATGACTCCGACTATCACGTCGCATGCAAGCACTTACTTGCAAGTACTTTTAAACGCTATTCATCAGATTACAGTCGATATGTTCGGTTTAATTTCGTCACGGGTGTTATGTTGTATGCATTTATTTTGCTTATATACGCGTCCGATATCCCGTTACCGTATTTGTGCTTAAAATTGAGCGTGCACTGATGTTTATGCCCAAATTTCACGTGATTCTGAGCATTAAAGTTCAGTGCGGTATCCGTGGTCGTCCCGTGTTCTGGTTAATAAACACTGCTCAAGTGCCAAGTGCCATTACCAATAAAAACGGCACAAAGTCATGTCTGTTGTATGGGAGCCACACTTAAATATTTTTTTATTCAGTTTTTTAGTACAATTGTTATGGCGGCAACAGAAAAATACATTTGTGAAAATTTCAACTGTCTAACTATCACGGTTCATGAGATACATACGTTTTACCCTATGGGTACGGAACCCTAAAAATTTGGTAAGCGCACTAAACCTTTCTCTCTCGACCCCACATTGCATCCTCAATTTACTTTCATAATCGGCTAAACTGTCATTCCTACTGGTAGTTAGAGCTGTTATTTTTTTAATTCTCTATATATAGAGAAAAAACTAAAAACTACGATCAAATATTCCTAAAGACTGAGATATTTTCAAGGTCAATCTGAGAATGACGTGATATTTCATCTATAATATTATAAAATCCATATTTTATGGTCTTTACTGATTGTAACCGGTGATTATGTTTAAAAAGTTTCTCATATATGACGAGATTTTACAGCTTCGTGTAAATAGTAGGATTAATCAGTTAACTCATTAATACCATTTGTTGATTTGATATTTAATAATCATTTATGTAGAGATATACTAAATCGCACACAAATTATTTGGGCAATTTTGGCCTGGCGGCCGTTTAGGAACATATTTCATAGCCCGATTTGTTGTCTAACAACGAATTAAATACAGACGGAAACGTCCCCATTAATTCCGTTAATGAGAGATGAACAACATGGGGTGCTCATGTCGGGTCTAGTCAACATGACGCTGGCTGAATATCGCGCCACGATCAATGATGTATCGAGATGCGTGTCTCGCTGTGAACACGGATACGCGATTGCTGGCAAAGACAATTATGTAAATATTCCGGATAAAATCTATCCAACATTTAGTTAACACCAGTAATTCAATCATCAATTTGTAATAAGTAGAGAGTATTACCCATACAAAAGGCAATACTTTGACTGCAACTCGATGACACAAGTCACCGGCGGCCGTGGCACATATCATCAGGTTAGTCGCCTGCCCTTTGTTTCAACAAAAAAACGTCCGAAACTTATTTTTCTCCCAGACGTTTTATAACTGCTGCCCGTGGGCATGCGAAAAATATATTCGCCGTTGTTCGTATCTCGATCTTAGGACGAGGTCAGCGACACCCCGAGCGTAACAACTACGCTCTACAAAGGGCAGGGAAAAGGCGACATTGGCCAGTTTTAACAAGCGGTCAACTGTATCGATGATGCCTACGATGCGGACTAAACTTGTGCACTAAAAGCAATGTTTGCAAGATACACGGAAATTGCATGGTAATGTGAGTCAATATTGATGATGCGAACCGTCTTATGCGCTGGTCAGGTGTTTGTCATCGCGTGGATGTTAAGCTTTGGCTTTTTTTTTACTCATATGTTGGAACCTGACCATGCACACCTAGACGCCAGATGGGTACGATGAGGCTTCCATTGTTTTACGTTTTTTTTTTCAACTAAATTTTAAGCTAATAAAATGAAGCAAAAAATAATGAATTTTTCGAACTTGTGCGTACTGTAAACTACTTTTGAAGCTAAATGGCCGTCCGCCGGTCGTAGTCCTGTCGATAGTGGGTATCTAAAACAAAAGCATCTTACATAAATAACAAAGAAACGTCTTCAATGAGGGTCGATACAAAGTAAACGGTCAACAAATAAGCAAAATTAATATATCTCTTTAAAATTAATATATCTCTTTTCCGTTTATATGAGTTAGATATTTTTAATCCAGCTGTTCAAAAGAGCACAACGTTAACGGCATGCCCATCAAAACCACATAAACTGTTACAACAAACCGAATAGGTTATATAGAATATATTAAAATGAATAAAAAAATCACATTAAGTTCAAGGACCGTAATAATACAGCCGTTCCCTCATTTGTTCCATGTGCGTAAACATAAGTAACGCGGATAAATTAATTGGCTAAGTTTTCAACACTTTCTAAAACATTACATTTTTAAATAGTCTGGCATATTCATGAGTTTTATATTTTAACTCTTCGTATAATAAAACTATTAATATCGTGTGCTGTAAAGATGGTAAGTAGCGTAAAGTCATAAGTCGGATCAAGTAGGTAGGTAGGTAGGATATCTGTCAATTAACAAGAATTGTAAATTAAATTAACTTATTAATTGGACTTTTACATTTAAAACAATGGTTTTATTTTAATTTTTGAAATAAAGACAAACACAAACAGGAGGAACATCTTGGAGGAGGCAACTCGAGGATTTAGGCGAATTAAAAAGAAGGTCCCTTCATAATAGTAGAATAAATAAATAAATAAAAAATACATCTAGAAAAAAGTAACAGACGAGGAAATAAAAACGTAATTTTAAAATTTTTAACTTATTCGGAGGCATAAAAGATCATATTTTAAATGAAGAATCTGAATCCCTGATATAGATGTGCAACTGTTGCGGGGGATCTCTTATCAATATCACCAATAGGAGGGAGCATCAGTCAGGTGAACTACTTCATTTGCCTCCTCTTTAAGTGAGTAAGAGCTAACCGGCAGACTTGTCCCACTTTTCAAATCGCCCCATATTCTCAGTGTCCTCCTCAATTCCTCCATAGATTTGAATTTTATCTAGGTGCAATTGTTATGTTGTTACACATTATTTACAGTGGTAATTACCTAGTAAACACGCTAAGTAGCCGTTTCCAGCGTATGTTAGATCCATTAAGGTTTTCATGTGGGTGTCCTTGCCGTGCTAGTCATCGATCATTACCGAGTCGTGCCTGCTATCGATACTTAGTAGTACGCCACTAAAAACCTCTTTAGCGGACTAAATTAAGGGATTCTGATAGCTATGCCTGTCGACACATGACTTATATTACCATGTGGCGGGCCGTTTTTATTATTCGTCGTGCACTGGGTGCCGATTCTTAAACAGATATGTAAAACCTCGCTTCGATCAGACTGGAGACTTCATATTCCAACAAGGGAACATCGCTAAGATCACACAATCACAATACGGATTGTATCGTGACGTCCTTCATTGTTTGACTTCATTCATATTTCGCCTAAAACCCTATTATTATTGGTTGAATATTGTGAACTTAACAAACGGAGACACGCACGCAGTAAAATATCTCTTTATTTAAAAGTAGTTTGTATTGAATCTAATTTGAGTTTACGTATAAACAAACTACAACGGTTTTTCTACTGATTTTATAGCCGACGTCTTATGGAGTAAAAGCAGCGCCTGTACTAATATGAGTCGCAACGAAATAGCTGAACGCGCTGCGCCTCTCTGTTTGCTTAAGGCGTTCCTCGAACCGCGACCTCACGATAATGTCCGAACATGTCATTTATTCAAATTTCGTACATTCGAGACGCTCGGTTGGTTTATCGCTTAATCAATTAAAATTGTTTCGAGTATGTTATTTGTATTCCGTTTATTAATAACCGTTCGAATTGTAACTATTATTACTGTAACTATATTACCTTATGGAAAGGTATAACTTCCTTTTGGCAGGGGGATGATTCAGTTGGGGGCATTCCTTTCGTTAGGAGTGGTGACGTCATGTCATATTTTACGTATATTCCGAAGGCCATGGTAAGCAAAAGAATACAAAAATTTAAAGAAAATTTAAAGTTACACGGTTTAAAAAGGTCAGTCATTTCAAATTTCTTGACGGCATACGAAATGTTGCTAATTTTTAATAGATAAGAAAAAAAAAATGAATTTCCAAAAGTTTGAATATCTGTTAAAATTAATATTCTATTGCATGGATGTGTCTGTCAGTCCAGTTCAACTGTCGATTATTATTGATTACATATTCCGATTTGATTTCTGTTAAAATTGGCAGTAGCCTCGTGTTTAATATGTCAACATGAGGCACATTGAACGAGAAAGTGTAGCAATATTATTATACATCATTGGTTGCATTTAAGCACGGCCTAGTGCTTCATTGCTATGGCACCTGGCAAGTGGCAATGCTGTCATAGAAATGTACTGGCTTAGTGAAAGTGTAATCCATCTCGGCTCTTCTTTAACTTCGTGTAGCAACGCTATAGCTTATAATGCTTATATTGTGGTATAAAGTGGCAGTCGCATTGGTTGGAAGATTGCAATAAGTCTGTTCATCAATTTGACATGTTCGTGGAAACCTAGCCTACTTACGAGCTCTATCCCGATGAAGCCTCATATGGTCCATTGACTCCGTAAAATTAATAAAAGCGTAACTATTTATTACTTGGTGAGCGTCTTATTACGCCTCACTTTGCTCCTAGAAGACAATTAGCCAACACCAGTTGTCAAAAACATATTTTTAACCAATTTATTTTTCCTCTATTTTAACCAACTATTTATCCTCATGTCTTTTAGCATATTATTTAAGGCCAGTCTCTGCTCTGGTTAAATGATGTTTGTTTTAAAACTTGTGTAGTTTATTCGTCATAAACAAGACATATTGTTTTGTAAAAAAAACTATTTGTCCACCTTTTCAATTTAAAATCATTGATAACGAAATTGAACACTCATGTACAATGTGAGTTTATTTCTATTGAAATCAAATAATACATATTCGCAATAGAAAAAAAGTCACTCGATATTAACAGGATTAATGTGATACGTATGTACAGACGTCAATATACCAATGCCATTGTAATAGTTCAGTTTGCGAAAACACAATCGCCACGATAAATACAACACGACTTTAAGTGTCGGGCGGATAAAAACATAATTTATGACATGGCGACGAGAAAAGAGACACATTTCGTGCGGGCCCAATTCACGTATTGATATCTCACTCGCTGTCAGTCTATGGTCGGACATGAATCATTTATTGTCAGAGAGCCTGGCAATAGAACGCTTGGGTTGCATTAAAGCGCGTTCTCACCTCAGCGGAGACACCTCCCGCGTCGCCGGCCCGTATCGCCAAACATGCCCGTCCGATGTAAGTAGAGTCGGCCGTTTCACGGAATCCGCGCGGACAACGGACGGAAATATGAGCAAACATCTTAATGTTTACTAATGAAACATACGGGGCTACATTGATTGATGGCGCTGCTATAGCACGGGTTTTGTGTACGCTCGCATTATGCTATTCATAAATCGCGCCGCGGGGATCTGGAGCTACGGCGTTGGTGGCTTCGCTATTGTTCGCTTCAGACACATTTCGGCAAACATTTCTCGGTGCGACACCGTGTTTTTTTTCCCCTCCCCCGCCGCACTTCGAGCCGTCGACGGTTGCGTCGAGTGGTCCATTTGAATTTCATGCTTGTTTAGCTGTTTGGATTGTTCCAACGCTGGGAGAGTTTTTTTTTCTATTGTTACGTTATATTTATTAGTGCAACCAAATGATACTCGGTTTCAATGATAGGAATCCATTAGGAAATTATAACGCAGTTTATACCATCGTTAATCCCGTGATCTGAAAACGTTGGTGCGTTTCCTCGTTAAGTGGATTTATAAGCTCCTGATGCGGTCGATGTCTCACAAGGAGTATTATAGCCCGGAGTTTTCTATTAGCATTCTGTAAAAGGAACCTACGCATTTATTTATAGGCTAGGAAAGATTTAAATAAGTACAGCTGAAATCATTCAATCGTTCTGAATGACGGGCACTCTATAAAATATACTATAACTACTTGTTTAGACGGGAAACGTAATGTGTTCATTACACAAGTAACAATGTTGATGTGTGTATTACAAATGCCGAATTAAATATCTAACCCCCAAGATAAGTGCAAGATTCTTGGTGGTTCCAACACAGTCAGTGGCGGTACGTGAGCTAGATATATTTCACGCGTCACCACGTACGGCAGACGTCGGATGGTCCCCATTAGCAGAGAATGATTGAGAGCTTTGCCTACGAGGTGGGGAAGACCTCTGGGGAGATGTGCCCCCAGAGCTTGCACTCGCCCGACTTGCAATTAACTCCTGTGTCGGAGAATTACCGCGGCATTAGACGCCCGCCTGACGTAGCCCTCCTCAGCCGTGCATAGCCGAATGGGCTTTCTAATTAATACGTAATTGAATATGTTACAATCACAATGCCAACGGATTGCGACATGCGCTCGCAGTGGGTACAGCCGTGTTGGTTTCGATATTTGCGATTTAGTAATTGATGTGACAATATTTCCAACGATGTAATTTTGATACACGTTGCGTTATGTTATGCTGCGGCTTTGTTTACATTTGCCTGATGATCGTGTTGAATGACAACGGTTGTATGGACGTCACTTTTTTTAGTTTTAGCTACGAATGTACAAAAAATTAAAGTGACGTTCTGAGTAAATTCCACAGTAATGGTTTAGCAAGTTTACTACAAGCATCTCAATTACTAAGTTAGTTTTAGTAGCATCATTTGTTTTTTTTATATGTACATAGACTGGAACGGGCTGAGATGATAATGATATACCTTCATATACTAACAAAGAAACAAGCGAGCTACGTTATGATAAGTGATAACCATCTCTCGTGGACATTCGCCACACCTGATGAGGTTTCGTTGCCGCCTCTGAAGTACGCTATTTATTAGAAGTATTTTATTAAGTATTTTATTAGATATTAAAAATCAAACGCTAATTCGATTGTCAACATATTTAAAACGGCAGAATAATTCTTATTTGTGCCAACTGATGTACTAACAGCATCCCTACGTAGCACATTCAAAACGTTTTTAACTAAACCGCAACTGTTGAATGCAGCAAAAAGCTCGTGCCAATAAATTACAGACGAGGCCATTACGGGCCGCGTTTAGACAAGAAAACAACTTTTAACGCCAGTGACCACGATTGCCAATATAAAAGTTAATCATGTTAGTGCGCCGGGGTGGGCCGGGTGCCGGATCCATTGTCCCAGGTTCGAGCTGAGCGCCCCCCGCGACGATTCGTTGCTTATTTAATGCAACGATGCACACTTAAACATCTAAATAACTTTTGTGTGACACTTCTCCCCTACCCTCTAATTTCACTAAGTAACTGTATCTTAACAAATGTATATTAGGACTGTAAGGGGGGAGTTGGGAGTTGAGCGTCGACGCGGATTTGCATCGTTTTAATTTGTTTTGCTTTGTTATGATATTCGATGCGTTTTCATCATAGCAGTTTTGTCACTTTACTAGATTTAGTTTTTAATTGAAATGCTACAATTGAACCGTATGGCTAACTGTAAAGGTACGATGGTGTGGTTTTTTTATAAAGTTTGGATAAAAAAGGTTTAATTTACTATTCGCATCTTAAGTAAACGCTCAATAACTTTATTTATTTACTATTTGGTTACATGTTTTGTTAAACTATTTACTTTTTATTTATTACCATATTGGATTATTTTTATATTTATTATAATTTATGCAATTAGTAGAGAAATTATTTAGATAATACTAACACGTGACATTTTTTACATTTAAAGACTTGGTTAAAGGCTGTATTGTACTGCATTTATAACAACCTATATAAATTGACGTGCTTCTGAATTAAAAGTTTTTAGTTTGAATGGCTTTTATACGTATGAACATTTAATACATAACGAGCACCGATTGTAAAGCCCAACTAAACCCAGTATTTATAGACAAAATTTAATTCTAAACTACGAAACAAGCCAACTTTTGAAAGAAAGAGAGAAACTGCAAAGGTATAGCACCTGAATCTTATTATCTTACTTATGTAAAAGTAAATATGCTTAGTACATTTTACTTTTACATAAGTAAGATAAGATAATATACGTAAGTACCCACGTACTCAAGTAATAAATTATAATTCTTTAGCGTAACATAAGAAAAATAATTAAAAATTTTATCCCCTGTGCCAAAGAAGAAGGCGTTAAATGTAATTGATAATGGTTTTAAGCGGTCGCTTTGTAACCAACTTCATCATGTCGCATTTTGGCTGTCGGTGGAAGCGGATTATAAACACATTTTGCTCTCATAATTAATTCCAAACGCACCAAAACTATAACTTCAAACATTAAAGTCTACAGCGTAGACACGTTATAAGGCCTCATCTGTATAGAGGACGTAGTTCACCCCGCGACCCCTTTAGCAAAGCCTAGTTACGTATGGCCTCTTAATATTTTTTTTATACATTTTCCAACAAGGAAGTTTTCGCGGGTGTGTGCGTATCTCGAAGAATGATTTTTTTTTTCTTTATGAATAATAAAGCGGATAGCTTGCATAAAAACGCATACTGGTGGAACAAAAAGATGTTAATTATTATGTGAACTCACCTCGCATATTATAACTGTGAAAGTATTCACGTTGTTCCAGTGTCGGGCCTCAAAGTGTATGAATGAGACTTGGTACGGACACGGTTTGGACAAAGTACAATTGCTTTCACGTGTAAATCAACAATACCGTTATAATCGGCTGTTTTATACCGTGCAAAATGCCACTCACTGGTGAGACAGTAATCGGTGGGAACTGAACGCGCTGCTTTGCGTTGTGGGGCAGCCCCGCTGAGCTTTAGGCGATGCGTCGCGCAGGAATCGCTTCGGACGACACAATCTGCGCAATCCACGCATGACCGGGCCCACCCCCGGCTGCCAATCTCCTGTCACGGCTTAAGCGGAGCGGCTGACGGCGTCCAATAGTTCGCGGTGTCACCGTACGTGTTAATCGCGCCGTGCACTTTTACGCACGACAACGCGAAATTAGATTAGCGTCGTTGACAATGGCGACATCTGCGGCGGGACGTGGGACGTCATATTTTGACAGGTACAGTCGCGGCGGAGCGGCACACCCTCGTCTACCCACATACACGTGTTGTCTGCCGAACGGGAGCACAACGAGCCGTCAGCGTTTCAAAGGAGCTGATTTCACGCGGCGCGAGCACCCATCGCGCCCGTCTCGAGCTCCGCTATCTCGCATTAGCTAACTGGCGTTATCGTCGGGCAAAAAATGTAATACTTTCGGGACTCGGAGGCCCCCATGTGCGCACGGCAGCTTCCTTTTCACGGCGACGCACTCGCGAGAGCCGGGATGATAAATTTGTCTAATGTATACAAATGTTTGGACATTTTTATTTCACTGTCGTTCAGACGTAGGTAGCATAATTCAGCCCGCCATATGTTACGACGGTTCGGCTCAGTAGGAAGTGGTGGAAAAAAAAGACGATTCTACGAGTCGCGACTGTACGAAGTCGTTTTCCGTGTGTCATCCTGACTAGTTGGGTAAACAGCTCAATTTTTTTGGTCGATGCGCGCAAAAAGCTATTGATAAATGAGAGCGGGGGAACGAACTCGACGACCGAATCACTACAATTACTCGACGAATGTATTATCGCGCGCGTAATGTATTATTATTTTAACACAAGTAAAACGAACGTCACGTGGATGCAACGAAAAAGCGACGGTTAATATCGTGAGAGCGCCGCAATGCGATTCACATTGTGATTAGTATAAGATAAATACCAAGTCTCACGGATTGTGCGTTAATCTCACGCTAACGGGTATATAGAGATAAGCCATATGAAAACATGTCTGTCACCAATTGGTACAATCGGCGATGGAGCTTATATGCCATAAGACTGAGACCGCAAATATCATCAAACGTTGATGACTTCATGATGCAAGGTATTGGCTTCGGCGCCGTGGTTCCTGGATTCGATCTCCACACGAAATTATTATTTCTGTGACACACAGATAAATTGTTGTGGATCTGCGTGTTTGTCCACGTGAAATTTTTGTACATAAAAAGTTCCTTACAACACAGGATAATGTTACCCTACATTAAGAAGCCAATGTTTTCGAAGGCCACTCTAATAGACCTTTCCAGGTTGCAGTGGTCGTTCGGACTTACCGTCCAACCCCTTCCACGCGCAAAATACAAAATGATCGAACAAAGCCAAATTAATAAGAGTTAGACGTCTACGAGTGTCGACCAAGGAGTATCTGGCGGGAAACTCGACTGATTCCCAGCGTCTAATTGATCAGGCCACGGGTAATTATGCACGGGGGCGTAACGTGATTATTGCTTGGGCAGCCCTTTTTCCTTGTCGCCCTCCCCCCTTCCCCCCACTCCGTTGCTAATCACCGCCGACACCGAGTGCCGATGACGTGCCGCAACTGTGTCTTGGATGCGATGACAGCATTTTAATATATCCCGCTGTCGTATGTAAATCCAAATCCCGCGGCAGATGGCGTGGCGACGCGTTCGCAGTACGGATCTCCATCCTTCGATTTTTCAGTTTTCGAACGAAGCAATCATAAACCTTTGAACTAGTTTTCGGTTTAAATTTGGGTGAAACTTTCTAATGTTTTTTTGTTAAGTGTTTTCTTAGTGGTCAGTGTTGTATTGTGTTGTACTGTAAAATTGGATAGTAATAATAGAACAAACAGCGTAATTATTCTGTTCGTAATTTATAGAATTTTTTTAAAAAGCATTTTATAGCTACTAAACTCTACGTATACTGTAAAATTGTTGCTAGTTTGCAAAGGTCATTTATTTAAGCACTCGAGTCACGAAAAGTTTATAAGAGTAACAAGAATTTTTTGATCGAATATAATAGAAATAAATTTTATTATGTATCCACTTGTAGTTGGTACTAATTACCGTCAGGTAAACTACTAATACGGTATTATGTAATGTACCTAACATTAAAAAATTACAGTCAAAAATTTAGTATACTTAAATCTGATATTTAATAATCATACATGTATTGTTTGCACGTGCCGCATATTGAAATAAATAATATATAACTATCCATAATGTATAACGGTATTTAAAACGTAATACCATTTAAATCTAAAACGGAAAGTCGTAAAAAAATGAAAGTATAGAGATGTGAATAGACCAAAGAGGATGCTAGCTTAATTTTTTTTAAGTGATAATTTTTGCAACTAGGTTATGCAATTATCGTATCTTATTATTTTCATATTCACTGAGTTATTTAGTTATCTTATTAACCGTACACACACCACTAAGACATGATTGTTTTTCTACAATGTATAACGGAATATGAACGGATGTATGGCCCAGTTTTAAGTTTTTTATCACAATATTAAT